TTTATATATAGTGACGCAATTAATACAAAGATGTTAATTACTAAGTTAGTTTATAAGAGAGTTTCAGAAAATGTAGAAATAGTAATTCTCTGATAATTAACATTAAAAAATGTACATACTGGAGTTTAGTAATGTCTGTGTGAAAATAATAGTTTGCGATTGAGTTCAAATTTGGTACTTTTATAAAGCTAGAAAAATATGGGCTTATAAAGTGTATATTAACAATAAAACTCTTCACTGAATGCATGAAGCTGAAATCAAACATTTGAATATGACCCAAAGTAAATGACATGCACGTTACGTTTAGTACTTACAACAATAATGATAATAGTAATAATAACTATTATGTTAACTACAGTTCAAAACGAATCATGTTCCATGAAGAAGTATCATAGCAAATTTTGAGCAGTTACCCATTTTTCTGTACATAAAAGTTTTATGTATAGAATAAAAATCTGGCAAGAAGTTCAAAAACGCAGTGTTTTCTAGAACTTTGATGTTTTTGGATTCATTTTACTTGCATAATCTAATCCACCAACCTGTGTTCTAATGCATCAGTTAAATCTTTATATTAGATAGTTAATGATACTGGACTGAATCAGTTCCTTGGGAATTACAGATACACCTTAGTGACGCATTAACAACGAGTATAAAATTCCGATGAGACTAACTTCAAACAACTTAAATTTCAGGTGTATATTAAGTGAGAATGCATTCATAAGGTTATACCAGAGCACCCTTACTGAAATTTCAAATAGATATTATAAAAATAAATGGCTTTCTTCAGATTGTCTATGACTAAAACAATAATAGTTGTCAATAGTCAAATCTACATTAATTTAACTCCTAATGCCTGTTTGATGAACACATTTCCACTACTAAAGTTCATGTAGATGCATGTTATATGCATATTATAAGGTGATAATGGGATCACTCTAAGTTTTAAAGCATATTATGAGCAGAGCATAACAGTGATTAGTACGAAATTTGCAAAGCTGTTCTACACTTGATCAATACGTCTCTTGTGATTCTGTTACATTTCTCTTAATCGAAATTTTCAGGTGTAAACAAAATTTAGGACTTCATTTCCCTTTAAAGTGTATTCAGTTTATTAAAAAAAATAAAAAGAACTTCTTGTTTACTTCATACTTCAAGACATATTTAACACACACTCGTCAACGAATTTCAATGCAGTACAACCACTTCTGTTACTATTTCCAATAATAATAATAATAAACTCGTCTGTTACCCTTGAAGTAATCCTCATTTAACAAACCAAATAATATACTTAATCTTTTCTGTGTAAATGTACTTACATCTTCTTGTTCACTTCCAGTTCATCATCTGACTACGTAGAATTCACTTTGCAATTCTTTCAGTAGAATTTCTACTAAAAATTACTACCTTTCATAGCACATATTCAGTTACATCTCTAACATATCAAGTTTTGACTACATTTTTTTCTGCCTTATATATTGGGCACTAGATTCTGAACAGTTGAACAGTGGCTTCCTCATGTTTTACGCCCACTGTTATTTACAAATGCGAGTAGTATAACCAACCCCTGCCCTATTCGTTTAGTTCGTTTTTCTATTTGGGATTTCTCATACAGATGCATACCGGATATACCAGTAAATTCTGCAAGTGCTTTGGTTGGCACACGGCTGGTATATAGCAAAATAAATTCATAGATAAAGGTGTAAATATGCTTTGTTTTACCTCAAAGCCATTTTATAGATGATACAAATCTAAACAGAAATTTAGTAATACTAAGCAACTGATCATTGTCCTTCTATAGGCAAAAAGTAAAAAAATGTTCTAACGAAATGATCTGTGAGAAATCCTTGAATATTTGCAGTAAAATGGCTAAGTTTGACTCAACAAGTTTAGTCCTTCCAATTAAATTTCTGTTTAAATCCCTACCCAATATCAGCAGTATGATCTGAATTTACCTAAATTTTTCGGTGCTTCCTGTTAGTTACCTGCAAAAATATCATGTTAAAAGACAAACCTCACTGCTGATAACAACTTGAGAAAAAATAAGTCGAAGTTTCCCAAAAAATATGCCTAATAATGGAATTTCATTAAATATTTATGTGTAGTGCTTCAGTCCAATCATCAACCTGAAATCAGTTCGGAAACCTTCAGCAGTCAGCGTGAACAATAAGATTCAGATTTTCAACACAAATGTGAAGTCAGTCACTTCTTCAATACAAGGCAGAAACTTGCACTGTGCGTCACGTTAAGGACTTCCAACAAGTTACAGACTTTTATCAACAGCTACCTTCGTTGGCTCTTTCCCGAAGATCAAATGGCTGGTGGGCCAGAATGAATTAGCAGCAAGGAACTCTGGCTGGGAACGAACCAACCAAGAGCTGATTGTTCAAAAAAATATGCAGAAGAAAATGGAGATGAATTGGTCATACACTGAAGAGGCCATCGAATGACATCGCACACAATGCAGGCCATTACTCCAGTGGAATCCGGATGAGGAACGACGAGTGGGTCGTCAGTGCAAGGTTTACATGGAGGACATCGCACTAGTTTAAGGAGATGAAAGGCTATGGGTAATTGTGGACTCAGCTGAAGAGGACAGTAGCGAATAGAACAAAGTGGAGATGTGTTGTTGAAGCCTTATGTCCCACTTGGAACCCAAAGGGATAATGATATACACTCCATCCACTGAAATATGAATATTTTTTGCCCCTTTTGTTTTTCCATACATTAAAAACCTAGCTTGAAACCACTAACTCCAATAAGTTTGATGTTAACTAAGCCACAACTAATGCATTTGCCTTCTTATAAAATTACAATCCTCACATGAAAACAAAACTTTGCGAATGAAACAAAAATCACTTTAGTGTGAATATTTTTGTATTACAAAAAATCCATTTCACAAACATGGTATCAGTCGGACACTTAAACAATGCAGGAATCTTGATTTAATTTATTACTTGATGTCACACCTGACACACTTTTATCCTTGAATTTCAGTCAAATAGCTCAATGAAACATGACTTTGTACCATTTAATTGCTGGACTATATAATTAAATTAAAAGTAAAATTGAATGAAAGATATTTAAGTCCTGCTATTTAACTCATCAACCTGACTAATTATTTACTTCACTGCAGCGTAATTTTTGCAAATATGTTAAAGCAAAAAGCTTTTTTAATGAATGACTGAAATAGGCTAAACCCTAATGATTTCACGTCATTTTGTTATACCATTTAGAGGTTAACCTGTCCACAGATTTTCATCTAATCAGTATTTCTTCTAGTTTACAATGGACCTACAAATGAAAACATGTTTGGTTTATAAGGTTGCAACACAATTACATAAAAGTCTACATATAAATTTTATGAATTATTCTTTCTACTCACTTTTCTGTTTTGGAAAGGGCAGCTGCAGTATAAGGTATGCCCCGAAGCTGTTGATACATATTGGAATTAAACTACACGCATTCTAACTTTCTAATCATTTTGTATCTCTTAGTGAGGATACTACTTTCTAACCACGTGATGTATTATTAACATGAACACAAATAAGTTAAAACTAATGTAACTGACTCCATTAATTGTTTTTCGTTTTGTTTGTTCATTTTGCATATTAACCTCTTATTATTTCGATTATTATTATTTGCTGTATTAACTCACTTGTCACCTTTGTTTATTTAACTCAACATACTTTTTCGGCAATGTTGTCTTATCAGAATTTGCACCTACTTGAGTAATGTTTTAAATGCCCACTATACTTAATAATACTACACCCCCTAGTAGGATTTAAACATTCCACGAACTATTTTGTAAAATGCATATTCGATGTCCTGTCACCTAAGAGTTAACTAGTTTTATAGTCACAAATAATTTGACGCAATTCACACTATTATTAAAAGAATTATATATATATGACTGTACAACTTGATAGTAAATTCATCGAAAAAAAGTCTCTCTTGTGAACGACTTATTTTAATTTTCTATAAAACTACTGTAAATAAATTAAGTTGAACGTATTGACAATTTTATCTCTCATGTGTTTCTGCGGTTGAAGTTTTCGACATAAAATTTCTCTGAATACACCACGTATAAGATAGCTGAACCGTGTACATTTCACTACCTATTTCCTCATTTTTAAGTAGAAAAAAATTATAGAAATAGAAATCTCTATGTCGTAATATTGTTTTTTTAAAACAAGCTGTTTCATGATATTCTGTTATTCTTGACAATAAGAGTAATATAGTATCATTTAATATCAACTAATGAAAGATGTATATAGAATAGTAATATATTTGTTTTTAAATGTTAGTGTTTTTCAGTCCGTAAATTTTTTGTTAAAATATTATGTAATATGACGTTGGAAACTTAAGAATGTCGAATTTAATGGTTCGAGAAAATTACTATTTAATGAGTGGAATAAATTACACTAAGATTTTACTTGACAACATATAAAATTTGGGAAAATTTCCAATGAAACTTATTAATATATGTGTATGAAATGAAATGAAACTTTTCTGTTTTCATGTTAATATCCTTATCATGGATGTGATGACCATGATTTATGATTTTTACTTATTGAAAATACAGTCGGAAAATAATAATTGACTTCTAACAAACATTATTTTTAAGGTTAACCACTAACACATCTTAATCTCACTATAATACCATCTCACGTATGGGTGGTATTCGCTAAAGCGGCATTCGAAACCCCACTAGCTAGAATGCTCACTGAGAATCCCACACCGCATCAGAAATATTGTTAGGAACAAAGCCATACATATTATGTTTCCTTGGTAATCTTTATGTTTTCATTAACGGTTCTTCATAGAATTTCTAAACAACTTTAAGAATTTAAGCTAGCGAGAGGAGTGGACATATCTCTAGAACTGCTAACATGATAATAAAAGTGGTGTAGTTTTCTCAGGGGACTATCACAAGAGGTGCCTCACGCATGAATCACTTCATATTAAGAGTATATTGAACATGTGATAAATGAATCACTTACCGAAACGAATCATGGTCTACATGTGAGGGAAGTTGCTTAAAAACAAGAAGTGATGAAGAACCTTTCATTATCTGAGGTCTTGCCGAACGGCATACCACAGCATTTCTGAGGTTCACTTGCACGCTTTTCAACTCACATTCACATGTGTAGAATATGTTTAGAGGTCCATCATAATCCACTGAATGGCGTTCAGAAATTTCAGGTGAAGCCAGCGTAACATGCTGGGACATCGGAAACTGCTCCTCAATTGTCCTAAGACCATTCATGATTAACGTCTATCTAGAATGTATACAGTAGGAGTAATAAAGCAAGTTTAGCGTGATCTGTTTGTGAGTGGTCAATAACAGAAATTTATCACAGAAGTTTTTCCATTAAAGCCAGGAAAAATTAACATTCACATGATAATTAGAATCATGTCTATAGACAGCACGTTTTTATTTTGTTTTGAGTGTTTTAACTGGTAACGGAACCGAGCGCATTTTGACCTACATTGTGAGCGGTCTTTTTGGAATCAGTTGTATTGCGTAGGTTATTTTAGCGGCGTGGTAATTTGCTACCATGTAAATTGAACGCCATATTTGACTATCTATAGATCTAATAACAAAGCAGTCCAAAAATCTTTTAGCATGTGTCATTTTTGATGGTGTTAATTCCTGAAAATTAGTGCTGTTGTAGTAGGCAATATACCCCCAACGTGTATCACACATGGTTTCAATTTCTGCTTAGAAATTAACTAAGTACAACTTATTTCATAACCATTTTCACCCACGTATCGCGTCTAAAACGTTTTCAGTTCCTTTTGCAGAGCAGGTTTAGACTCAGTCCCACTTGACGTCCTAAGTAAGCTGATTAATGTTATCACCAACACATTTGTCACTTTGGGGATCACTGAAAAACACTTTGGAAAGCTTTGCCGGTTCTTCTCTGTTTTTGATAGACAGGCTACCTTAGGCTTTTTGCTGTATGTAGACTGTTTGGAATATCCCTTTTTCATATTCACTGTTTGGGAATTGTTCAGTCATCTTTAATGTGGAATTAAGTTGAGAATTAAGCTCCACGCCTATATTAAACCTTTTTTATTGGTGTGTGTTTGTTCGTCCTCGACCTGAACAAATCAGTCGAGGGTGCAGTGATACCATCTGAGCATCGGACTTATGCGTTAATTTCTCATTTGAAGAGGCATCACTCCAGAAGAGTACAGTTGGGCATTTACTTTCGAACTCTCATGGGATATACTGAGGTACTCCGATCTGTTGGTCGCAACAAATTAAGGTCCCATGCATACCATTTTAAAGTATTCTGGATTGTCTGTTATGTCTTGTAGTAATTTGCACATGCCAAGATTCTTTTATGCAGTTAACCTTTTATTCCCAATTCAAGGACTGACTGTTTACTTGGAGTTTTCTCGTTTATATCTCACCACATCTGTATAAATGGGTGCACATGCCGGTAGTAATTCTATTACGGGCCTCACGCATTGCTCATAGAGTTCTGAAGCTGCTAGCTGGGTCTATATGGCTGTTATATTCATTAGGTCGTGACTTACTACTACACCTAGGTCAACACACATATAAACTGTAGGAAAAGTTGTCCTCCTGAATTGCACGAACTGATACTTGCTTTCCCATTGTGTATGATTATGCACTTTGTTGCTTTGCTGAGGTCTATCCACTCTGCAGTCCCTCTATTGGTTCTTTGTTATCCGTAGGCTTGTCTCAAATTTGACTCTGCTATAGATGGAACCAACTGTGAATAAGTGGACACTTCCGCAAAATGTATTTGTATTATTTTTTATCAGTTTGCGTTTCATTAGAATATTAAACTTTAAAAACCGAAGTTAAGTCAGCCATGAAAGGTGAAACCAATGAAGTCTACATTGTATTACCTGAGTATTATGAGGTTTAATGTGTTCTAGCAGCTAGTTCCGTTGTATGAGAAAGACAGAACCTCATAAATCTTTCGGAAAACCCTGTTTAATAAAAATGGACTAGGTGAACTACTTTACTGCCTAGTGCATGGGAATTAGAGGTACTTCCATTAGACTGTTGAAGACCTCTGCTCATCTAGCTTTATCAGGACGTCAATATTTCTGTGACATAGCCACTTAGCATAATTACTGACACAAATTAGACCTAAAGACCTCAGTAAAACAATGGTACTAAAGTAAAAAAAGTCTCTGTCCCATGAAACTGGTTTCGGAAAGTAGTTAGTTGTGTGCCATTCGGCTGAATACGTCACTTACAGTAAAGGTGTCTTTACATAATCCTCGCGTACAAACCCACTTACTACAGTCTGGATGAAGTAAGTGATCAATTTTACAAAAGTCTTGCTGCTAAAACCAAAAAACCGTGATGTTAACATCTTAACAAGTGATTTTAATATTCAGGTATATGAGACGAGTAAGTAAAAGTCTTTCTTTATGGAGTTTCATGAAGGACAACGGTGGTCGACTTCTACCAATTTGTCCTCTTAATTGTGTGACTCACCTAGTCGCAACGAAAAAGTTTCCACGTTTTCAGCACTTAGTTAGAAAATCCAGGTCTTCTATTAATGAAGAACTTAAGTTAATAATTACCTGAGTATGTTATTGATACTCATTCTGACGATTATAGCCCTTCCCACTCCCCACTTTATATGCTATAAAGTGTTTAGGATATTTAGTAATTTGGAAGTTGACAAAATGTAGTAGATTTCTGTAGCCTCATATAGACTTGTGGAGTCATGATATTGATCTCTGCCCAAATGTCGGTACTCGACAAATGCAATTTCATTATTTAATCAGACTTTCTTTTGACCATTTTACTGTTAGTAAAATGTTTTAGCAGTTCATTTACAAGCATTCATTTTCTCACTTTTATAGAAACAATTCCAAAATGTCGATGAATCAGAGTCATTCTGCTAATGGAAATGGTGTGGTTTTGTTTTACGGAGAGCGGTATGTTTCAGTGACTGCTGAAGTGTAATGTTTTATTTTATTATAGAATGCTAATTTTTTATGATGGGTGTGAACTGAAACTTACTGGGTCATCTCTTAAATGTTCTAACGATGGACGGGTTTACCTCACTTCACATAGAGTAAGTAGTTCCGTTTGAATTGCTGTAAACACTCTGTAGGTAATTTTTATCAACAAGAAACAATCAGCTGGCATGCTTTCGTTCAGTATGCCATTCGTAAACATGAAAGAGGTCGACATTAAACAGCCCGTTTTCGGTGCAAATCGTATTGAGGGTATAATAACTGCTGAGCCTAATGGCAACTGGCAGGTAAGTTATTTATTTGCCGTTTTCTTATGTTAAATACTGCCGAATTTTGAGGGATTTGGAAATGAATATAATGGCACTTGTTAACCAGCCAGTCAGTTATAGTTCACAAATTATTAGAAATATATCAGGCGACACTTAGATTAGTCCTTTTCTTTTTCCAGACTAGTTAACATGTAGTTCAACAGTGTAATCAACATAATTGTGACGTCAATTTTATTTTATTCCTTTACCTCCCCAGTGGAACATAGGGCTCCAAGCTAGATCTTTGAAGTTTCTGTAGCAATGGTGTGTAATTTTACGGGATGGGGTTGCTAGCCTAATGTCCAATCTTCCCTCTTTACCAATCTTATGACTGGCTTAGGGAGGTAAAGGAGCGCGTCGGCCGCAAACCACCTGCGTGATTGGGGAGTATTCTACTGCTGTGTCACCGACGCACTACGACGTCAATTTTAGGCACTTAAAACTACTCCATTAACATTGTCTCGGGAGGACCATGTATTATAATCTCTGTTTGAACAGTCTTAACTTATGTGTGGTCTCACTGGTTCATGTTGATATATATTGTAAAGTCGTATATCATGGTGATTCAGTTGGTTCTTACTGAATGTGTCATTGTAGACCCTGTGATTCATTTGGCTGCAGATTGACAAAAGTATTACTTTTGTCCAAGGTTGATGAAGTATATTTTTGATTAGTATAGGATATCAACCAAATGTTTTATCTGGATGGTCTCTATTCCCAGTTTTTCCTTTCTTTGAGAATAGGAATGGATGGAATTTTGCGTAAAATGCACATTTTATCTCATAGACTTTTGTTTAGTTAGGTATTACCACTTGAGACAACTACCCTTCATAAACCTTTGGATAGATGTATGAATTCAGGTGGAGCGCCTTCATTCTCATAATATCCTTTCTATGCTCTCCTTTCGCACTCAATGACTGCAGTCTATTGACAAAGTGAAATGTGGCTTCAAATGAGAAATATGTTAGGGATCAGACGGTGATAAGTATATCTGTGGTTGGCACACAAAACGATAATTTTACGAAAGCAACCTCTGGAATCTGAAGCCTAGTTGGTTTTCTCAAATGACTGTAACTACTGATTCTCCAGCTTTGATGATATGTTGATTAAATGACTCTTCATGGTTTATCGTAAGATGTGTAGCGTTTCTTTTAACCGAGTATAATCATCTGTCTACAGGAATTCTTAATGATGATGATCAGTACTTCAAGTGTAACTAGTGTGCATCCAACCTTTCTGGCATGGTGAGACCTGCAGGAACGTTCGTTCTGACCAGCATTATTTCTGATGCGGTCATTGCACTCTGTAAGCTGGACCACGCCATCTGGGTGGCAGCATTCTGTCGGTTAAAACCAACTTAATTAAGTAGCAACTATCGGTAGACAAAAATAAATGATAACTAGCAGCATCCACCATGGCCATCAACTGCTTCTGTTATGACTTAATTTTTTGTATGTTTGCTGGTGTATACGGTTCTGAGTAATTTCGTTTTCTCAGAAATCAGGACTTCTCTGCACTAACTTTTAGTGCGCAGTAGTTGTGTTGATTAGTTCAGTTACTTAAGAAGTTATTTCAGACTTGACGTATTGCTTGCAGACAGAATCTCGGCACAGATATGATCTCCACCAAGTATTTACGTCAGTGAACTATCCAGCCACCTTCCAAAAGGCGTGTTTTTGGTGTCCCACTTCACTTATGTGAGACTTGCTAAAATCGGACTAAATGAAGATTTTATGGGTCTTCAATTCCATACATACCAGCTTTTATTACTTTTTCATACATTTATTCCCCTTAATGAATTTGCACAAAGCAAGAACTACAGATTTTGCAGAATAAAGTGGTACCATCTTTTATTTCGTTACCTTCTCGTCAGCTGCTTACAGACCAAAGACATTATTAAATATCTACAAAAACAATTTTAACATACTTGTACAGAGTTCATTTT